CTGGCTAAAAGCCAAGGATATAGAGACATGTCTAGTTCGCTATTTGGTACGTTTAATAGTGGTACAGTTCGCCTGCCACACAATATGCGGTACTCGTTGTTATAAAGTACCGACCTTTCATCGTCTATCAATTTATTTTTAAAAGCGGAGAGTTATGTAGAAAGACTATCTAACCTTCTTTATACTATTATTTAAACATGGACTCGTCCATCCACTATGAATAGAACGTCTGCTCATGGAACAGCGGCGAAAAGTGGGTCGCTAAGGCGTAGTGCTTTCAGTCGTACTGATCTACTGTATTCTCAAACGATGTTCTCATGTGATGAAACCCTTCTTCATTCGACGTTTTGTTTCCAGTGTTTTCCTTATAGCCTCACTAAACACAGAATCTATAAGCACGAAACGAACTTATAACATGACCTTCAAGTTGACAGACGCGCACAGTCCATTTGATTTGTTTCACGTGGGAGGGAGTTACACCTTAAAGGAATTGTCTCATTCTGTTACAAATGAGTTGAAGATTAGAAGTGAAACTTAAGCGATGTTGGATTCTGTTCCCCTGCCGTGAGTGTCATTTGGCGTTAGGTGCTTGGGAATGGTATATGCCATTTTTATATGGCTTGCATGGTAATGCCGGAGAAACTGTGAGGAGGATCCTGTGTAGGTCACCTTGATGAGTGTCCAATGGAAAGGTAACTGATCAAGCAACCAAAGAGCATAATATTACAATACTGAATGCTGTGCGTTTGTAGTAGTATAAGGAACAACTAGTAATAAGAAAGAAAGAAAGAAAGAAAGAAAGAAAGAAAGAAAGAAAGAAAGAAAGAAAGAAAGAAAAAAAGAAAGATAGAAAGAAAGAAAGAAAAAAGAAAGAAAGAAAGAAAAAAGAAAGAAAGAAAAAAGAAAGAAAGAAAGGAAGAAAGAAAGAAAGAAAAAAAGAAAGAAAGAAAGAAAGAAAAAAGAAAGAAAGAAAAAAGAAAGAAAGAAAAAAGAAAGAAAGAAAGAAAGAAAGAAAGAAAGAAAGAAAGAAAGAAAGGAAGAAAGAATTAAATTAAATTAAATACATGAAAAACAAAAGTAATAAAAAATAACGGGAATAAAAAGTAATAAAAAAAGAAAGAAAGGACGACTTCAATAAGCAAAAGAAAAAAGAAAAAAAAGAAAGAAAAACGACTGAGAATAAGAAAGAACGTAAAATAACGACTGAGAATAAGAAAAAAGAAAGAAAAACCAATGAAAATAAGAAAGAAACAAGGAAAAATGACTGAGAATAAGAAAGAAAGAAAGAAAGAAAGAAAGAAAGAAAGAAAGAAAGAGAAATGGAATGGGAAAAGAAAGAAAGAAAGAAAGAAAGAAAGAAAGAAAGAGAAATGGAATGGGAAAAGAAAGAAAGAAAGAAAGAAAGAAAGAAAGAAAGAAAGAATAAATAAACCAAATTTTTGAATGAATGATAAAAAAAGACAAAGGTACAAGAAAAATAATAATAATGAGAAAAGCGATGTGTAAAAAAGAAAAAAAAGAATTGCGTCTGTGAAACTCTGTCAGAAAGTCTGGAGAAATTATCTGAACGAGAAATGGAATATGAATTTGGCTAGAAATAAAAAGACGTTGCAAGAGAAATAGTTGCCTTGGACTAGCAAGCAGAAGAAAAATATTACGAAAGCGTAGCGAGACAGAAACAAAATAAGTTCTATTTTATGTGAGATTGGTAGAAGAAGTGGGCGTGTGGTAAGAAGCGATTTACTGATTAAAAAAAAAGTAGAAAAAAAGGAAACCACTTCTACTTCGCAATTGGCAGGGGAATAATCATCGGACATTGCTGCCCCCCCTCTCTCTTGATCTCACACTTTAACCAAATAGCAAAGATTCCATTGCTCTCATCTGCTCTTTTTCCCCTTTCTCTCTCCCTCACTCTGCTTTTCTCCTGTTTCGTTTCGCTTCTTTTTACTCTGACCCTTTGGCTTTCTGTTACTGCCCTGCGCATGCGTAAACAAATACAGAACACTGATTTCCTCTTTGTATCTTTCTGCCTATTTTTATCATTCTAACCCCAAGCAAGGCAATAATACCACTAGGACGTAAGGGTTTACTGGGAGTGAATGGGAATGAGATTTTAGTGAGGAGAAAAGACAAAGAACAGAATTCAGGAAGACAAAAAATGGCGACTGGCGTTGCATTTAAATTTTTTGAAGATTGTCGATAGCAGAAGGAAAAAGATCAGAAGCTAATTCCACAGGCGAGAATTGCGAGAAGAGGAAATATCATGATATAAACATGCGATAGCATCTAACTTGTTCAACAGTAAAACGGAGGTGGGACCTAGTTGCCAATTTAGAAGCGCGTTTAAATTCGTGCAGACGAGACACTAAGAAAGAAAGCTCATCAGAACAACCGCCATGGAAATATTTGTAGAAAAGACAGAGGGAGGTCACGTGACATTCACTCGCCTAGAATCACCAATGAGGCTCAGTAATAATGGCTGAGGTAGAGAACCAATAAATATTTAAAAATAGGTTTGTCGATCGATTAATAAAAAGTAATAGAGATATTTAAACGAACGAAAAAAGAAAGATGAAAAATAAAATATGTATAAAAGAAAGAAAGAAAGAAAGACGAAAAATATAACTGCACGGAAGGGAGAAAGATGAAAAAGACATAGAATAAAAATTTAAAAGAAAGAAAAAAATGCAAAAAAGAGAGAAAATAAAATCATGAAAGAAAGAAAAAAGAAAGAAATGAAAAAAGAGAGAAAGTAAAAACGTGAAAGAAAGAAAGAAAGAAAGAAAGAAAGAAAGAAAATATAACCGTACGGAAGGGAGAAAAAAGAAAAAGGCAGTATAAAAATTTAAATGAAAGAAAGAAATGAAAAAAAGAGAAAATAAAAAAGTGAAAGAAAGAAAGAAAGAAATGAAAAAGAGAGAAAATACAAATTGAAAGAAAGAAATGAAAAAAGAGTAAATAAAAAAGTGAAAGAAAGAAAGAAAGAAAATGCAGGGTGGTCCGAAAGTACTGTCACCCATTACCTTACTTCCAAACTGTAGGAGTCCGGGCCATCCATCCGAAATAGGAAATTATATGATGTAAGGGTGACAAGACTTTCGGGTCACCCCGGAGAATAACAATTGAAAGAAAGAAAGAAGAAAAGAAAGAAAGAATTCAAATAAAAAAAAAAAAAAAACGAAGGAAGACAACAAAAGAGAAAATTGTAATGCACGTGAGAAAGAAAAAAGAAAAAAAAAAAAAAGAAACTCACCCACTCGCACGTCAAGTCACCGTCTTCCCTTGCACTTACATCATCCTCCCCCGTGGAGATTTCCAACTTTTCAGATTCTCTATCTACCCCGCACCAGAAATAATTACCCATTTCCTACACCTACCCCTAACACTACCATGGCGAAAGAGAAAGAAATAATTCTGTATCTATGTTTCTCCTCCTCCTCCTTTGTAATCTATCGGGCATCTGAGGCCTAAGCCACATCCCACTCCGCTCATTTCTGTCTCAGATTATCCACCATTCATTTCCTGTACAGACGTAAGCGAAAGGGAAAAGGCTGAAGGCTAGAATTATCTGCAAAGCATTTCGTCAATCGTAAAAAACTCGCTACATTTTGATTCGAATACAAACCGAACCTATGTCTACATTTTGACTCGAGTACTGTGCCATGTGTCCTTAAGGATAAAGGCGTTGGTTAGATCCAGTGACAGTGTGAGTTCAATACCTGGTTAAGGCAGAGGAGAACTTTCAGAGGGAAATTAACTGGAGATAACTGATAACAGACATCCATTAAACATGGCACGTGGAACTAGAACAGTCTACCGCAGTGAGCGAAATAAAGGGTTCAGGTGGACATTCCAAGCACCTGAAGACCGGAGCGTACAAAGGCCGAAACGTTGTGATAAATATGACAACAAAGATGATGATGATAGTCCGAATATGTAAATTGTGTAAATAATACCTCATCTCAGAAGTATAGACAGATACCGAAGAAGGCCGGAGCGTACAAGGGCCGAAACATTGTGATAAATATGGCGACAAAGATGAGGATGATAGTCCGAAAAATGTAAATAGTGTACATAATACCTCATCTCAGAAATATAGACAGATACTGAAGAAGGCCGAAGCGTACAAGGGCCGAAACATTGTGATAAATATGGCGACAAAGATGAGGACAATAGTCCGCATAATGTAAATAGTATACATAATACCTCATCTCAGAAATATAGATAGATACTGAAGACGGTCGGAGCGTACAACGGCCTAAACGTTGTGATAAATATGGCAACAAAGATTATGATGATAGTCCGAAAAATGTAAATAGTGTATATAATACCTCATCTCAGAAATATAGACAGATACTGAAGATGATCGGAGCGTACAACGGCCTAAACGTTGTGATAAATATGGCGACAAAGATGAGGACAATAGTCCGAATAATGTAAATAGTGTGCATAGTACCTCATCTCAGAAATATAAACAGATACTGAAAGGCCTAAACGTTGTGATAAATATGGCGACAAAGATGAGGACAATAGTCCGAATAATGTAAATAGTGTGCATAGTACCTCATCTCAGAAATATAAACAGATACTGAAAGGCCTAAACGTTGTGATAAATATGGCGACAAAGATGAGGCCAATAGTCCGAATAATGTAAATAGTGTACATAATACCTCATCTCAGAAATATAGACCGATACTGAAAGGCCGAAACGTTGTGTTAAATATGGCGACAAAGATGAGGACAATAGTCCGAATAATGTAAATAGTGTGCATAGTACCTCATCTCAGAAATATAAACAGATACTGAAAGGCCGAAACGTTGTAATAAATATGTCGACAAAGATGAGGACAATAGTCCGAATAATGTAAATAGTGTGCATAGTACCTCATCTCAGAAATATAGACAGATTTTGAATCGAGTACAAACTGAACCTATGTTTACATTTTGACTCTAAACCCGGACTAATATCAACTTTTTGCATCTACTACAACCCGGTGACTTATGGCCACATCAGGCTGAAACACCAGTTCTCGTGTGATGACCGAAGTTAAGCAACGTCGAGCCTGATCAGTACTTAGATTGATAACCGCTTGGGAATTCCAGATGCGGGTGGTGTAATGGCTCGGAATTATTCATGGGAGAACGAAATTCCAATAAAAAAAAAAAAAAAATTTTACAATCTAAAAATATTTTCTGGCTTTAAATAACCTGCGAACGGTTGATAAACCGTAAAATACGAATCAATTCAATACTGATTAGCTGTACAGGCATGTCTTTTAGATTTATTTATATTCTCTGGAATATAAATGTTTAGTAACTACCGTGGCCACAAAGTGAGTGATCAGTTTATTTATAGATTGTCATATAGAATAGATACTTCACTTTCTATCCACATTATAATTTCTTGTTTGTTTATCAAATTCTGATCAGGTATGAATCCACCTCTTCTCCCTCCAGCTATGGGTTAATTAGTAAGACTTATATCACTAAACTATTATTATCTTTAAAAAAAAATTCATGCAATGTAAAAATATTTTCTGGCTTGAAATAATCTGCAAATGGATGATAAGCAGTAGAAAACCTATCTATCTATCTATCTATCTATCTATCTATCTATCTATCTATCTATCTATCTCATCTATTATCTATCTATCTATCTATCTATCTATCTATCTATCTATCTATCTATCTATCTCAGTCTGTTCATTATCTATCTATCTATCTATCTATCTATCTATCTATCTATCTATCTATCTCAGTCTGTTCATTATCTATCTATCTATCTATCTATCTATCTATCTATCTATCTATCTATCTCAGTCTGTTCATTATCTATCTATCTATCTATCTATCTATCTATCTATCTATCTATCTATCTATCTCAGTCTGTTCATTATCTATTTATTTATCTTACGCCAATATCACGATGAAACATCGATTCCCGTACAATCACCGAAGTTAAGCAACGTCGATCCTGGCCAGTACCTACATGGATGACCGCTTCGGAATACCAGGCGCTGTAGGATTGGGTGTGCAGGTTCGATGCTTTAATTCACGTTGAATGATCACCGAAGTTAAGCAAAGTCGATCTTTTTTTAGTACCTAGATTGCTGACCGCTTGGGAATACCAGGTGTTGAAAACTTGGATGTGCGAGTGGTGTAATGGATAACGGCTTGGAATTGTTAATTGGAGAGCCAAGTTCCAATTCACTTATGCGCAAATACCCTTAAGAAAGGTGTAAATCTACCTCTTCTCCTCCAACTATGGGTTAATTAGTAAGCCGTTCATTACTAAACCATTATTATCTAAAAAAATATTTCTAGCTTTATATAAGCCGCAAAGGATTAATAAAACGAATCAATCAATCAATGAAAAGTCTCTAAGCCAGGGAATGCGTCTACCGGTCCCTTAGACGACCGTTACATTATCTCTTCAGTCTTTGAATGTTGAATGTTTCTTGGATGGAAACGGATATTTTCACTAACCATTCTTGGTTCCTACCAAATTTACATAACCAGAAAGAATTGATAAATTAATTTTATTTCATGCATTATTTACATTATTCGGACTGTTATCCTCATCTTCATTGCCATGTTCAAAACCTTTCGGCCGCTGTACACTCCGGCCTTCTTCAGGTGACTGCATCTCTGTAGCAGTTCAACACTCTTTTCTTTGTTTCTAACGAAAATTTTCTCTTTCTTAATTCTTTGCTTAGCTTTTGGAAGGCATCTTTCGCTATCCCAATGCGCGATCGATTTCGGTGTCTCATTTTCCGTCCTTTGTTAAAACATTTCCTAGATATTTAAATTGTTTTACCTGCTTGATTATGACATCTCCAATTTGTACTTCGCATTTTGGGCTGGCCCTTTTGCTAGCAATCATAATCATTTGCCTTCTTACAATTGATACTTAGTCCTTTCTTCTAGCTTTCATTTACTACCTTCACGCAGGCGTTCCTGTAATTTTCTTTCAGTGTCTACTATAAACACTGTGTCATGTGCATATTTTATATTAAGTGTTGCGAAGGAGAATATTTCCCTACAAGTTTGGACTCGGCTGTAGGACGAAAGAAATAAAAATACTCCCACATCAAGAGGAGTAGCAGGAAGAGCAGTAGCAGCAGTAGCTTTTGCTGAAAACAGTTAATGATTCACGGCTAAACATTCTCTCCCCTAGTTTCTATTCTACATTATATTCCCCTGTATCAAAAGGTAATAAACTTGTTGTTAAAACAATTCCTGTTTTCTACTGTTGTTTTTAATAACTCACAACAATGTAGAAATAAGAAAATTTGGTCTTCTACTACGGACTGTTTATTCACTTCTTCTTCTACAACCTCTTTCCCCGCCCTCTCCCCCTCTCCCCCTTGAGGATTATGTCCTGTTCTTTTCAATGGAGATCTTGGATCTTATTTCATCTTCTTCCATATCTGAGTCACTCCCACTATCATTCATAGTGTTGTGAGGGAGAATATTTCCCTACAATTTTGAACTCGGCTGTCGGGGAAAAAAACATAAAAATACTCCTACATCAAGAGGAGTAGCAGGAGGAGCAGTAGATTTTGCTGCAAACAGTGATTCACGGCTAAACATTCTCTCCCCTCGTTTCTATTCTACATTATGTTCCCCTGTGTCAAAAGCTAATAAACTTGTTGTCAAACCAATTCCAGTTTTCTACTGCTGTTTTGGATAACTCAGTTACAAAATTAAGATTGTGGCCACTAATAATGAAACCTGCTAGAACTTCTGATTCTTTTAGAATGACCTCACTGTATGTGTTGAAAAGGTCTGATGAGAAGATGCACCCTTGTTTTACACCTTTTTTATTTTTGTAAATTAACAGTACTCATTTTCTTTCCGTATGCAGGCGGTTTGCCTCTCATTAAAAGTTCTGAATTATTCTAATATTCTCCCCACATATGTCAAGGTTTCTAACTGTCCTAGGTAAGACGATAAACTACATCTGACAGCAAGGCCTTTCATCAGGGAGATTTGAGGAGCATGCAACCACCTCTTAATTGCTAGTGTTCCCAGGCCCACCCTGACCCGGGGTGGTAGCACCTGTTAGGGTCCCAGTTATAGGCAAATAGTTAACCTCCAAACTGGGGTCAAAGCATTATGAAAGTGTAAAAATAGGTTTTAATACCAGCAATATTTTTTGGAAAAATTATTACCAGCAGTACATTTTGAAATATTACCAGCAATACATTTGCTTTTAAAAAAATATTACCAGCAATATATTTTAGGAAAAAAAATTACCAGCAGTACATTTTTTAAAAAAAATTATTACCAGCAATATATTTTTGGAAAAAATATTAGCAGCAATAAAAATCTTGACGGCATTAAATAACCCCCTGAGGTGTTGATATACCGGAAAACAAACAAAACCAAGCCAAGGCTGTTGAGCAGTTCCAACAGTTCTTTGGGCAGAATGCTATCAAATACTTTTGCATAATCTATAAAATATAGGTATTGACATTTAGGTCTCGTTTTAAGATAATGTTGCTATGCAAGAGTTAAAGTTAATAAATCCACAAAAATGATTCAATAAATGTATGAGGAACTTCTTGAAATATCTGAAAAGCTGGATTTACTCTGGAAGAATACCGGGTATAACAGCAAAATTGCCCAAATCGTATAACAACAAAATTTTCCAATTGTTAGAGTAAGCTCTGAACCGTTGTATCTTAGAAATGATTAAAGATATCTTACTGGAACTTTCCGAAGTTTTGATAATACTATTGGACTCTACTTTGAGCAATAAGAAAGTATAATTACTCTCCAAGCTTAACAGAAGAATCGATCATAAACGAAAATGACATGTTCATCATTAATTAATCATATCTAAGAATCAGAAGCTCATGAAATATTTAAATAAAGATCAAGTATATATATATATATATATATATATATATATATATATATATATATATATATATTATTCCAGGATCATTTTCCAAGTCAGTCAAGATGATCATCTCCCTCTCTAACCTTCTAACTTTCTGCCCTGGGGTAACAATGTGCCTCACACGTTTCACGTACGATTTCATTTTCAAGTATTTTTTTTTCACTGCTCTTTGAACTGTTATAGTTGAAACTCCTCTATCACGTGTCAAACATATTATGAATTGAGTTGGATCTTTTCTAATTGATCTCTTTAGCTCTAAGTTGAAACGATGATCTCTCTTCCTGTTGTGACCTCCTGATCCAGTTTTCCTCTCAACTGTTCCCTCTTTTTTTAAAACTTATTCACCATTCCCTTGATGGTTCTTGAATGGACTTTGAAGATGGAAGCCAGAGTATGAATGTTGGTATCATTACTGAAAGCTTGTATAATCTTTTTAACCTCCCAATTGCTCAGTTGGGAAGACAGTGGGACTGACGCAGAACGATTTTAACCTGTCCTCTTTCTAGCTGAATAATTCAAAAGGTTTTTAGTGATTCTTACGAATGATGGTGTCAAGATGGCTAAAAGTCTTATCTGAAAACCTGGAAAAAGAAACTCAATTGGTTTAGTGTTTTTTAGATATTAAACACTTTGCGGGATGGACAATTATCGCATGCTGTTGCACGATTTGGACAATTTTACTGTTACACCTGATATATATATATATATATATATATATATATATATATATATATATATATATATATAAAAAAGTGAAGGTAGAACTCAACACTTAGAGGCGACAGTCTGTTTCATGCTATATGCAATCGTCAGGCCTGACGATTGCATATAACATGAAACAGTGTTGACTTTTCTATGTTCACTTTTATATTTACACACGCTCTATCTCTGATATTGAGCACTTTATTCCATAAATATAGCACACCTTAAGACTATATTTCTTTATATATATATATATATAGTTAGTGCACAATAAAATCTAAAATTACTTCATATGGGGAATAGGCTTATTTCAACAGACGAGATCCATCAGTCTTATTCAACCCTGGTATAGACTGTGTTCGTGTCCGAATTAGAAATTTAACTGTGGCAGCTACAAAACAAACAAAAAACTTAGTTTCAAATTAACAATTCCTTCTTCATATAACTCTAATTTAATGTCATAAGGTTAATATCTGGGTTTCATTTTGTAAAACCTCTTCCCTTTAAAGCTAATACCTTCCACCATCCTCTGACCACTGTCTTGTGCCTTTCGTCTGACTGAAACATTGAAATGGATAAATTCTGTATTAGTTTTTCCACTTTTTTTGTAGCTGTCACAGCTAAATTTCTAATTCCTACACAAACTCAGTCTATGCCGGAGTTGAATAAGACTGACGGATATCGTCGGTTGAAATATATATATATTTCTGCATATCTCAGTCTGTCTCATTTCTGTCTCATCTGCATATGTACTATTGTTACAATTATGGCCGCCAATAATAAATCCTGGTTGAACTTCTAGTTCTTTCGGTGTTGTTTTGCTGTAAATGTTGAAAAGGTCTGGTGAGAAGACACATCCTTGCCTTCGTCGCTTTTATCGGGAGTCGTATTCCACTTCTTCCTCGTTTAACATGATACACCCCGAAGTCACCATCATAAAATTATGATTTTTGTTCATTTTCGGGTCCAGACAATTGTCATACGCCATCTGGCACAATGACATAAAGCTATAAAAAGAAAGGGTCGAACTTGAAACACAAGACATCTGTATGTATAATAAAAGAGCTGATTGTCAGTCCGTCATATACTGCTAACGTTGCTTCAACCGCGCCAGAAAGTACCAGACTCCCGCTATGTTGCATTTTTACAAGAGTCAGATGAGACCAAAAATATAGCATTGCTACCATATCTAGGCTGGCGCTATTTAATCTTCACTTTCCAACTTTGATAGAGTTCAATGTCGTTCAGGGGGTCTCCACGTCACTGCCTCTTTCTCATAGACGCAAAGTCGCATGCCTATGCCTACTCTGTCGCTATTTCCATCACAAATGTTCAGATGAGCACTCCATTCTTTAGTTATACGAGTTCAGACGTTTCCAGTTAGGACGCGCCATGCTACTTCCATGGAATCAA